TTATTACAGGTATTCTGGTGTTTCAGAATCTCAGAATGGACTTTCATGCAGCTGTGATGCACGATTATTTTCCCAGTTATGCAATAAAACCCTTCACATCTCCGGAATGTGCTGCAAAAGGCTGGTATTTAATAAAATCCTCCTGATGTGGTTATTTACGCAGAATTCTGAGTGCCTGTAGCACTTCAGGTGTACCAAGTGGACCATCATGTCAGAATTTCATCACATTTCAGTAGAAACAGCTGTAACTAGAAGTAAACAGTGGTAGTGCCAAGGTTCCTTACGTAAACATCTATTAGATCAGAGCTGACTCTGAATCTTCTTTGGCCATTCCTGCAATTCTATCCAATCTGAAGCAATCATTTTTGTTTACTAAACTAGAATGAACTGTGAGTGTCTGCTGTACTAACACACACACACACACACACACACACACACACACACACACACACACACACACACACACACACCAGTAAATGAATTAAACCCAGTCTTAGATGACAAAGTATTGGCCCCTTTTATTTTGAAATGACCTGGTTGGACTTCCTGTCTCATCCTGCCTGCAGCTCAGGAACTCTGCTAAGGAGGAGATCAGACCCCCCCCCCCCCCCCCCCCCCCCCGCTGTTTCAGGGAGCAGAGGACCCTCCGCACCTCCTGGGGGTGGGGGGGACTCCATCCTCCCCCACTCAGGGGGAGTAAAGTACAGAGGAAGAGAGAGAGGCGACACATTTCTAGAGCTGTAGAGGGAGCGTGGGGAAAAGAGGGAGAAAAGATGGAAAGAGAGGCAGAAAGCTGGAGATGGGGTCCTTTACTTTTGGAATCAGAGTTGTTGGCTTGAATGCGCGCGCGCACGCACGCACGCACGCACGCACGCACGCACGCACACACACACACACACACACACACACACACACACACACACACACACACACACACACACACACACACACACACACACACACACACCCACAGTAGCGTACCAAAAGACCAAGTATTCCATCAGAAATGACCAGAAGTGATCGTTTGACTCACAGGCCAGTGCTGATATGCGGAAATGAACTTGGGCCAGTATTCTTAACTAATCCAGCGTATGCCGAGTCCTCCAGGATGCAAGACGCAGAACTTCTTATCCATCCTCTTGAATAAAGTCTCATCCCTTGCTCAAATAATGACTTTAAAACTTTATATAATCATATTTTGTTGAATGAACAATTTGTTTAAATCCAAAGTGTTTTAATAATGTGTTGTATACTTTACATTTAATAATGATTTATTATCAGCTATGCCACATATTAATATCATTATATTGACAAATGAATGTTCAATTCAATTCAAATTAAAAAATACTTTAATAATCCCAGAGGGAAATTGATTTATTATATTTCTTTATGAGAAAAAGGTGACATCTGAGGACTCTTGGTAACGCCCACTAAAATCTCTGGCATCTGACTGGTCTCAAGCTTAGGAAAACAGACCTTTGGAAGAATACACCCGGAACTGAAACTTCCGTTCAAGCAAGGTGTCCCAGCCTTCTATCACGGTCCGAGGTGAGACCTCCCTACTCTATAACATCTCTGTGCTTGCTTTCAGGTGGGAGGTTCCAGGAGAGCCAGCTGCTCCATATCTACCATCAGGCAGTCAGACTACAAAATGGGGACAGAGACAGATGATTACCTCAGCTCGGTAGCAACCACCATTACGAGCTCATGAACTTGAGTTTTGTGACCTAATTCACAGACGTTATTCAATATCTTGTTTTGCCTTCCTACAGAACCTCTAGCATCTCTCCTTCAGCCTTATCGCTGCCTCTCCCGACTCCAACCAGGCCCATCATCCTAGATAGCTTTGCTCCTGTTTCTTTGCCTGAGTTAACCAAACTAGTTAACTCTATGAAGACCTCTGCATGCCCCCTCCACATCTTACCCTCATCTTTGTTTAAAAGTGCTTTTCAGTCCATCGGTCCCAGCGTGCTCTCTATAATTAATGCTTCTCTGGTTTCTGGTCAGGTCCCTGCTTACTTTAAGAACGCTGTAATCCACCCGCTTCTTAAAAAACCGAGTCTCGACCCCTCTCTCCATAGCAGCTTCAGACCCATCTCTAAACTTCCGTTCATCTCCAAGATCTTGGAAAAGGTTGTGGCTAAACAACTCACAGCTGCTCTTGATGAACATAACATCTATGATAGCTTCCAGTCAGGTTTTCGTAGAGCTCATTCTACTGAAACAGCTCTTCTTAGGGTCTCTAATGACCTTCTGAATCACAGTGATGCAGGGGACTGTTCTGTTCTGGACCTGCTGGACCAGACTGGGTAGGCCTATCAGGATCTGCTCTGGAGTGGTTCTCCTCTTATCTCTCTGAGTGCTCCTTTTCTGTGGCCGTCTCCAAGTTTAGGTCCTCCACCACCTCCCTTACCCATGGTGTCCCACAAGGTTCTGTGCTGGGGCCTCTGCTCTTCCTCCTCTATCTGCTTCCTCTTCAGCACATCCTGAGCTCCTTCAAAGGAATCTCCTACCATCTTTATGCAGATGACATCCAACTGTACATCTCCTTTAAGCCCCATGAGATGTCTAAGCTGCAGCTGTTACACACCTGCTTAGACTCTATCAAAACCTGGATGGCTGGGAGCTTTCTTCAGCTGAATGAAGATAAGACTGATCTGTGCCCCAGACAAGCTGGTTCCCAAAGTCAGAGACTCTCTTGGTCAGCTTGCCTCTCACGCCAAATCCTCTGTCAAGAATCTTGGTGTGACCTTTGACCCAGCTCTCACCCTGGATTCTCATGTCAGTTCTCTTGTTCGCTCTTCCTTCTTCCATCTTAGGAACGTTGCTAAGCTGAGTCCCATTCTGTCCCACTCTGAACTTGAGACAGTTCTCCACACGTTCATCTCCTCACGCTTAGACTACTGTAACTCTCTTTTCACGTGTCTGAGCAGAACCTCCCTGAACCGTCTACAGGTGGTTCAGAATGCCTGTGCTCGGCTTCTGACCAAGTCCTCCAAACACACCCGCATCACCCCGCTTCTCCTCCAGCTTCACATGCTGCCAGTCAACTTTAGGGTTCATTTCAAGATCCTGGTTCTGGTCTATAGGGCCTTACATGGACAAGCACCATGTTACACTGGTGATCTTCTTAATCCCTACACCCCCAGCAGGTCCCTGAGGTCCAGTGATCAAAGCCTACTGGTTGTGCAACACCAGGCTAAAGACCAAAGGTGACAGATCATTTGCTGCTGTGGCCCCCAGACTCTGGAACTCTCTCCCCCGAGCCTGAGATCAGTGGACTCAGTGGTCTCCTTTAAACTCACCTGTTCAGGCATTGATGGGATCTTCATCACCTCCCTCTCCTTATTCTGCTTTTTCTAGCTTTCCCGGGATCCATAGTATTCCCTCTTTCCTATTCATTTTCTCTCCCTTTCCTTAAGTTTTATTTAATTCACAATTTTTTTCTCATTTTAAACATATTTTTATTCATTTCAAAAAATCTTTTTTAAACTTTAAGTTTTTCTTTCTGTGAAGCGCCTCGTGGTTTTCACCTTGAGAGGCGCTATAGGAAAGATCGTTTTCTTTCTTTAATTCTTTCTCAAGACCCTCCTCCCAGGACCCGCTCGGCTTCACACTCTCCTGAACCAATTCCAGACCCACCAGGACCAATCCCGTTCCCCCTCACCGACCGCCTCACTCATCCACGCAGCTTGGACCCTCCAGACCCTCATCTTTGGGCCTGACCCCCCCCCCCCCCCCCCAAGGGAGTTTAGGTCCTTATCCTTCCCTGAAAGTCACTTGAACAAGAACAAGATCAACTTCCTCCTGTTATCATTCCCTCATTCATCTGGATTTGTTTTTCCCCTAGACCCCGCTCTGACGTTTCCAGCCACTAACTGGGTTCCAGTGCACCTGAAGTTCCTCCTTATTAATAAATAGTTATTTTTTCTACCACTCACCATTGTTGTGTTGATTCTCCTGGGTCAGGGTCACCCCCCAGTCATGACACCGCCATGCTAAATGAATCTCTCGTTGGGGGATCAGACTGTCTTTCAACAGTATACTTTTAGCTGCAAGAACCTTCCTAACCATTATTAGTTTTAATCTACAAAACAACTCATCAGACATGAAATGACCCGCCAGCTTTCAGCAGTCACCCAGGGGAGTATTTCACTGACCAGCCGCGTGGATTCGGGGGGCCTACGACCTTTGAACTCCAACAAGTGTAACAACTCGCCATCCGCGATGTGCTGACTTTGATGCTGGCAGGATTTACGGAGAAGTCCCACTACTCTGGTAATGTAGGCTCTGCACCGGCGTTGGACGGTTAAGATTCATTAGATTACTAAATAAAAATTCAGCCAGATTATTTTTATAAACCCAGACATCACATAACCCTAACCCTAAGACACTTAGACTTTTGGTAACATCTAAGGTCATGTTGCATCACAGTTTGATTATTGTCTCAGTTGATGTTTCATTTAAAGTCACTCATCCAGCATCATCATTAGTAATACAAATATAGTAATAAATAGATTGTTATAAACTATATTTTTGTCTCTGTGTCAAATTATTAATTAGTGTCCCTGGCGATACCCAAAGTACCTATTTGTTTCATCAATTGAATATTAAAGGCTCAATAATATTGATATATGGAATATTACATTTTATTATATTCTATTGATGGTTTATTAAAAGTAACCACTTATAAAATGTTAAAATAATCATAAATAATCTATAAAAACCACACTTCACACACAGTGAAACATACTTTACAGCTTTTCTTTGTAAATCATTGATTTATAAATAAAGTTACTGTAGAAAATTTCAGAGCCGTTTTGTGTGAAGGCAGCTTCATACATCAGGCTGTGGTCTGGATGTGACAGCTCTTCGCACAAAACACAAAGTCAATAATAAAAATGTTCCTGCAGCACAACATAAAGACTGTTTCTTAGTTTGGTTAAATGTGTGAGCGGACACAAAGGACACCACATGACTGCTCAGAGATCAGCGCTTACTTGATGTAGTAGGGCACACTGTTAGGAGACACGCCTTGCTGAAAGGGGCTTTCTACAGATCCTGAAACAGACAGGAAGAGCTGAAGAGCATTACAAAAACAAGAGCTGTGATTTTAACACAAGACAATTAACGTCACTTTGCTATTATGGTGTCACCTAAGCTCACATTTCCCTACTCAAACAGTGCCTTCAGAGTGGGAACACGTTTCAGATTACACTCTTTACTTCTCCATGTGTGTGTGAGTGGCTGATCCTCACCATGAGCAAGGACATAGTCCCTGTGGGCATCAGTCAGCTCCTTCAGATGTTCTTCCACACAAATCTGAGAGACAATAAAAAAACAACCTAAGACAGAGAAAATGTGTCTTTTTGATTTGCATCTGAACATATGTCAATGATTTCACACACACACACACACACACACACACACACACACACACACACACACACACACACACACCCGCACACACACGCACGCACACACACACGCACACACACACACACACACACACGCATGCACACACACACACACACGCACACACACACGCACACACATGCACACACACGCGCACTTACACACACACACTTACACACACGCACACGCACACTTACACACACACACACACACACACACACACACACACACACACACACACACACACACACACACACACACACACACACACACACACACACACACACACACACACACACACACAGTAAATGAATCCCAATGCAGCAAATCATTCATTAACTATCTTCCAGTCTGTCACAAAGAAATAATTAAGAACACAGTTGTGTCTCCCATGTGTGAATGAGTGAATCGGTGTGTTGGCACCATGATACACAGAACAGAGCAGGAGGGCAGCAGCAGTGGAGAAGATGAGCACGAAGGGAGAAGTGAATATTTACAGGACAAATGAACGAGGAGCTGGAGTTGAGATAACTGCACCAAGTCAGCACCCACACAGCTGCCTTCTAGTCTCATCACCCTCGCGTAAACCCAACAGCTTATTCTGCATTTACTGTTCTGTTTCTGACAAACAAGCTAATGAATTTGATCCAAGTTTATTTTAGACACATATGAGAATATGATGTTAGTCTGAATGGGACTGATAAAGAACTAGAACAGTTTGTTCAGAAATAAGACAACCAGCCTGGGTCAAAGGCTGGCAGCTTTATTTATCCAGCACATTTCACACACAGAAGCAATTCAGCGTGCTTTCAAATGAATGTGACAACATTAAACAGCAGATTTTAAAACCACAAACACAATCAGATGTAAGAATAAGAAAAAAAAAGGCAAAGTTAAAGGCTGAGCAGTTACAATGCTGAAGGAGCAGCATAAGAAACTCATACAAAGCTGATGATTACAATTCTGATTTAAACGTTATAGAGCTGGGGCACATCTGAGGTCACGAGGAAGCTTAATCCACCTGCGTGCAGCATAGTAGCTAATCGCAGCTGCACCCTGCTCTCCCTGTAAGCATGTGGGTTCTCTCCAGGTACTCCGGCATCCTCCCACAGACCAAAAACTGTGTGTGTTTGATTGTTTGTCCTGTGGGCCTCTGTGTTGCCCTGCGATGGGCTGACAACCTGCCCAGGGTGTACCCCTCCTGTCCAAAAGAGGCGTGTGGTCTCCACGTTCCTACATGACCTCCCTATACCTGGGCATGCTCTTGATGAGGTGGAGGATGGTGTCCTGAGGCATATTCTTCCAATTCTGGACTAAAGCATCTGCCAACGCTTGGACATTCTGTGGTTCAGCCACATGAGGTCTAGCATTGTCCTGCATTAGGTGGAACCCAGGGCCAACCGCACCAACATGTGGCCTCACAAGGAGTCTGAGGATCTCATCTCAGTACCTAATGGCAGTCAGGCTATCTCTGGCAAGCACATGTGGCTCTTACACATTAGCATTGGTACGGCCCCTTATGGTACCGTACGGGACAGGAATTTGGTTTCACACACGGGTCAGATGTGCGTTTTCTGTTCCTAGGAGACTATTCTTTGCAGACCTCCTCCCCAGGGATCTGACTGGGACTGAGGTGAGACTACAGACTGATTGGCCGGCTGAAATTATGCATACCACCTCTGATTGGCGAGTAGAATCAGCCAGCAGGGGGTTCCCACATGCAGGATTCATTTTTATGCTGGATGCTGTTAATTATACTTCTCTGTCCATAGCACGGTGCTGCCGATCAGTGGGAAAGGGAGAAGAGAGAGCTGTGTGTGTGTCCCTCTACTCTGCATTGGAGCTCTCATCCCAGCAACAGCTGCTCAGTGGAGAAAGTAGTGTGTGTGTGTGTGTGTGTGTGTGTGTGTGTGTGCATGTGCGTGCACAAGATTATGAGGACACATACAGTACAGCTAATTAATAAATTAATGTGGTTCAGGGGCTCCAAAAGCAACACTGTTCATGCCCACCTTTGTTTATCATATTATGGAGGACACCGTGGACTTTCCAGCGCATATTAAATGCCGCCCACGGGCTCAGAGATTTTCGCATTCCTTTGGATTCATATGGGAACCCTACACTGTCCATACCTGAGTGAATTCAAGCTATCCAGCCCCACCAAACACACTGCTATGTCACGAGTCACGAGCCAAGGTGAGTGCTCCTCCTCAAATAAACCATCTTTGAGGTACACTATACCATACCAAACCATACTTTTAATAATAATAATATTAATATTAATTGTAACTTACCAAGGGGTCCATTTTTACCTACTAATGTATAATCATTAGTTTAGGAAAAATAATTAAATTCATTTTATAACCTATATACCGACTCTGTCTGAATTAATACAAAGTGTGTTTATGGTCCCCGAAGAAGCAAAGAACCCTAGAATCTTCTGAGTAAACATTGAAAGATCAATCAGGTTGACATTTCATATTTATATGGAATAATCACATCTTATTGGTCATTTTCAATAAAGTTGTAATGTTTCATTTCATTACATAATAATATAATAATAAAACTTTATTTATATAGCACCTTTAAACAAAGAGCTGCATAGTATACCACAGTCTAAAACAACAGCATCAGCAAAATGCCAAATGGAGTAAAACATTAAGATCAAAGATAAAATAAGAACTAGAGTTAAAATGGCTAAAAAATGATCAATCATTTAAAGCTTTAGTTTAGCTTTAAACACTTCCACCGAGTATGCTTGCCTGACATCCTTTGGCAGATCATTCCAGAGTAACGGAGCGCAAAAAGCAAATGCACACCCACCCAAAGTCATCCGTTTTATTTGTGGAATGCATTAAAGGCCCGTGCCGTGTCATCGTAATGCCCTAGATGGAACATATGGGTCTAGAAGGTCAGTCATGTAAGGTGGAGCCAAATTGTGGAGAGCCTTATAGGTCAACAGTAAGACCTTAAAATCTGCCCAACGCTGGACACGGCCACCAGTGTGACTTCAGGACAGGTGTGATGTGGTCACTTTTTCCTACTAAGATACCTGCAGTTGCATTCTGCATGAGTTGTTGACACTGGAAGCTCTTTAGGGGCAAACCAGAAAGAAGGGCGGTACAGTAGTCAATCCTTGATGAAACAAAGGCGTGTACCAGGACACCTCATCATCCATCCATCCATCCATTTTCTGAACCCGCATGTCCATGCAGAGTTGCAGGGGGCTTGTGCCTATCTCCAGCAGTGCATCATCATCATCTGATGAAATCAACCTAATTTTTGCAATTCTTCTCAGGTGAAAGAAAACAGTTTTGACAGTTTCTTTCAAATCAAGTAGTCCAGCCGAGTTGTGATGGAGGCATGGATTACTGTTTCAAAATTCTTCTGCTGCAGGATGGGCTTTACTTTTGCCAGCTTCTTTAAAAGAAAAAAGCTAGACTTAACAACTAATCTGATGTTTATGTTTATTTATTTGGCAGACGTTTTATCCAAAGCGACTTACAATTTATAACCTATAGGGCATGTTGTGATCTGTGGGGGAAACCGGAGTACCTGGAGGAAACCCACGCATGCATGGGGAGAACACAACTCCACGCAGAAAGGTCGCAGCTGAGTTTCGAACCTGCAACCTTTGTGCTGCGAGGCAACAGTGCTAACAACTGTGCCACCATGCAGCCCAATGATGTGGTTGTCGAACTGTAGTCCAGCATCCACTATAACCACAAGGTTAGTAATGGTTGGCCTAATGTACTGGGCCAGGGAACCAACTTTTATGTTGGGGTCTCAGTGGAGCTACCAAAAACAATGCCCACAGTTTTGTTTTTATTTTGCTTTAAAAGGTTCTTGGCTAACCAGGTTTTTATTTCATAGAGACAGGAAAACAGGGAATTCAGAGAACTCAAGTTAGACTTTTTGAGTGTCTTCTGCTTAACAATGAAAAGGTATGACATACTTTCTAAAATAGATCTAAAGGGGAGCAGGTATAGTGTAAATTGGAGGGGACCCAGAACAGAGCCTTGGGGAACCCCACACTTGAGCAAGGCAGAGGAGGACACATGGTCACAAAGGCAGACATGGAATGTACAGGAATGTATAGGAACTGAACCAATCTACAGCTGCACCATTGATGCCCCCCACCAACATACCAGCTGCTGCAGACCATGACACAGAAGAGAGGATAATTCTGCCTGGATGTGGACTCACTCATCATGTTTTATACAGATAAAAAGGACAGAAGGCAGTTCTTTCTTCTGGAGGGTTCATTAAGATGGTATCATCATGCAGCAGCTGATTGTTGAAGAACAAGACAGGAGGGGTTAGGGAGCAAGTGACAGGACGCTGCCTAATTTTGAGATTACACATGAATGTTTGTTCAGTCTAGTTAATAAATTTATATGATGAAGAACTTTTTGTGTATTGAGACGGAATATTACCATGACAATGAGAAATCCTTTGTAGCGTCAATGAATGGCCTGATTCTTGACCCTCAGGTCAGAGACACAGCCTGGGCCACCTTGATCTTGGCTACTACTACAATCTACAGTGTTTCTTTCACAGGAGACTGAATGTCTGTCTACCACCCCTTTAATCTGACTGCCTTTATCTGACTGCTGTTCCATCCGCAAGACGAAGGACACTTCAAGATTTAAAAGAATCATTTTAATAAACTCTTTTCACTGTCTTTTACAAGGTTCATAAATAATCATCATGGTTCATTTTAACGGTGTTTAATTACTGAAATTAATTATTATTCTTTGGTTAATAATAATTATTATTTATGATAATCAGTAATGTTTAACAGTGACAAGAAGATCATGTGCACTTATACACAATCATACAGGACACAGTAATCAGGTTAAGGTTAACTGAGCTCACATGTCTTTTTCCATAACACCAGAGCTTTCTATCTTGGGAAGGCGGGCTTCTGAGGTATGTTAAAATCGCATTCGTTAGACCAGGAAATGCCCATCTTATAAAACAGAACTCTCTGTATTTAGCAAGTGAGTTCTAGAGAAGTGGGACGGCCGTCCACACGCTCTTTAAGCAAAAAGCGATTTCTATCACGCTGGCAGAATTGCTACGACCCAACAAACGAAACCTGCAGAACAAAGCTGACGCAAAACTCCTTCAGAGTTATTATTTTTGAGATGCAACCAGTTTCATCAGTCGTTGTGACCCGGAGACATCTCAGGACCGACTTGGTCGCACTAAGGTTCTTCTACCCACCTCGTGCTTGCGGTCATCATCTCCTCCTAGCTGCCTTGCCATACATGTAGCAGTTAACGAACTGAAACCTTAAGACCGTTTCAACCCTCCACACATCAGCCACAACTTGTCACAGGTCATAAAGCAACATGTGAGAGTAATAATGAAGCCAGTCATACAGCTCTACATGTTATTCAGTATTTTACACCCAGTTAGCAACCATGGCCCAGTCCTGACTGGAGCAATCTTCTGTAGCGTCACCGAAGGTCCTCTAATTTGTGGCAAAGGGCACATCTACCCAGCTGGGTCAAGCTGGGACAAACAGTACTTTAAATCCACAGATTAACCAGGAGCCACGATGTCTGCTCAAGATCATATCCATATCTGCTGCTGCTCCATCCCAGGAGGAGGACACTTCAAGTCACTATGATAATAATTAGATAATAATGATTAATAAAACTTGTTGATTTTATTATTGTTTAATATAATCATCATAAATGATCCCTTGGTTCAATATAAAGGTATTTTAATTACATGAAATGAATTTTTATGCTTTGGGATAATAATGATTAATTATGATTATGGGTGATGACAGTAAAAGATGTGTTCAGCAAAGAAGGTCAGTTCACCTTATCCACCTAACACAGAGTCCAGATTAACAATAACTGCAACACATGTTTTGACGCATGATCAAAGCTTTCTTGCGGAGAGAGTGGGAGTGTCCTGAGAGCTTTGTAAACTAACCATCACCAGCTTCAGACAGTTCTTGAACCAACATCAAGGAAGAAGGGAACGGCCGTCCCTAAACCTCCACCTGCTGTTCCAGTCATGCCAACCAGAATAGCTAAGAATAAACGCAACTGTAACCAGCTAACGAAGACTCTACCCAGAGTCATTGCTTTCTGAGTTAAGACGAGAACGTCCATCCGCAAACGCTTGACAACTGTGTACCCGGGACATCGCTGGACCAGTTGATCAGACACTCGCGTCTCCCCTGCCGGACCGAGTGTCATCTTGGATGAACAACATCCTCCTGATCTCCGGATCCACAAGAGGGTCCCTGTTTGGGTGAGGTAGAACACGAGAATGCGTTTGATGCTGTTTTCTCTAAGTGAATAACTCAGTTAGCCGCAAACCATCATTTCCATCCAGAACGCTTCCAGCTCTCTGAAAGAAACCTTCTAATAATTCCATTCACGCATTCAAACTCGTATTCTCAATTTAGCTTCCATCCAGCCACAGGTTTGCTTTTAAAACAAGTTTAATATCAAAGCTGTTAAAAATTGTCATTAAACGGTCATCCATGAATTGTCGTTTATAATTGTCGTTTCAAATCTTTAAGTTTAAAATTGTTAGTAATAAATTTCTTCATTTTTAAACTTGCCTCATTATTGAAACAAAACACAGAAAAGGTATAATATTTCTGGTTATTGTAAAACAAAGATCCTAGCTTCTGATTCAAAATAACTTTTGCTATAAATTTAACTATTTAAATTAAACATTAATCTTTGGATTAAAATTAGACCAAACAGGTTGGTGTATGAACTTAGATCTTATATAAGTATCCGGGATATTTGTACATGATCTAAGCCTCATAGGTTAATCTGATTGGTCATTTTTCGGAATCTCCAACTGAATAGCAACATAGTTGATTCCAGTGTGTAGTTTATTTCTCTACACTACATAACCCCAAATAAATCTGTGAGTAATTATTACACATGGAGCTCATTCTCCTCTGTGCCTATCCAGCATCCATAGTTTGTGTTAAAGGCACCGTTCCTTCTCATCTGCATCATTGCAGGGGTGGGCCCCTCCCTGGCCCCCCCAGTCCCCCCTGAAGCTCCCCCCCGTCTTTCAGCTGAAACAGTTTTCAGAACTATCAATAACCTGACGAACCTGACCAAGTGCCCTTGAAGAGAACAGTATTTCCTGTCGGCGCTACTCCTAACACTACATGAGGCTTAGAGAGTGAAAATCTGCTGCAAGATTGAATTTTAAAGTTCCAACTTTACCTTGGACACAACAACCAAAATGGGTCTGACCATTTCAGTTTCTGTTAGAAATCTGAAAGACTTCTGGCTCAGTCATCCCTCTTCAGGCACACATGAGTTCTGAAGGTGAGCCACTGTTAGCAGTTGCATGTTGGGACACGTGGTGTTTTGGCTAAAGCCTGATCACTGACAGGCTTTTCATCTAACTGGCTCTGACAGAAGCTGATGGAATGATATGAGTTCTGTTTGTGGAACAGCTTGGCTGCTCATTCATCCAGCCTTTTATCTGCTACTACACAACACACACAGGTGATAAAATGGGTGTGTGAAGAGCAGAGACACCAGCTATGGGATGAATACACCATGAAGATGGCTTTAAAAGCCTCCATTACCTTCGAATCCACCTCATCCAGCCCGTTTCTGCCTGAGTTGTTTTTCCTCATATCCATGGTAACCTGATTAGAATTGTGCAAGACAAGTGTGGGACAGCTGCAGCATCAATACTGATGGTCCCCATGTTAACAACCAGCTGAAAGCCATCAAATACCTATCTCTCTCTCTCACACACACACACACACACACACACACACACACACACACACACACACACACACACACACACACACACACACACACACACACACACACACACACACACACTTACTTTAAGTTGGTACCTCACTGGTGACACAGTCAAACTGGTGTAAAAGAAGCCAGGGAGACACATTTTCTCTAAAGCTAGCAGAGAGTCATTGAGTTTGTCTGGAAACCATCTCGAACACGTCTCAATTTAGTTTCCAGGAGTCAGAAGTATCAAATGTGAAATGTGAGATTTGAAAGGAAGTGAAAACAGAATTCCCACTAAAATAAGGTAAAACTAGAAAAATTGCATTTATTGCACAAATGCTGTTTGAATGCTGGATAGCTGAAGCTGCTGAACAGCTGAACTGAAGCTGAAATTAAGCAAAACTGTCAAAATGAGCTGAATGTCTTGAAAGATGTAGAAGCAAAAAGCACCAACAAGAAAATAAAGCACAAAAAGTAAGTGAAGAATGGAGAAAAACCATCCTAAACAGCAAAAAACTAAAATCTGTGAACATTGTATAAAAATCTGGACAGCTAAAATGTCTAAACACCTGTTATTTATGTAGGACTAGTTTAACAGTTTAATTTTTACATTTAGCTGAACTGTGAAATTAGCTGAATTCAGAAACTAATTGCTGAAGTTGAAACTAAGCAAAACTGTTAAAATGAGCTGAATGTTTTGAAAGATTTAGAAGCAAAAAGCACCAAAATGTAAATAAAGCACAAAAAGTGAAGAACGGAGAAAACAATCCTAAACAGCAGAAAACTGAAATCTGAACATTGTATAAAAATCTGGATGGCAAAAATGTCTAAACACTTATTGTTTGAGTAGGACTAGTTTAACAGTTTAATTTTTATATTTAGTTGAACTGTGAAATGAGTAGCGTAAGCTGAATTCAGAAACGGATTGCTGAAGCTGCTGAATAGCTGAAGTGAAGCTGAAACTAAGCTAAACTGTCAAAATGAGCTGAATGTATTTAAAGATTTAGAAGCAAAAATCACCAACAAGTGTAATAAAGCTCAGAATGTAAGTGAAGAATGGATAAAAAAAAATGCTAAACAGCAAAAATCTTTAATCTTTGAACATTTATTAAAAACTCAAAATTTGAAATGTTAAACACCTGGCATTTGAATGAGAATAGTTTAACGGGTACATTTTTACAATTGGCTGAACTGTGAATTTAGAAATATTTGCTGATATCTGAAACTGATAGATTAACATATGTTCAGATTTTATATGGGATGGATGAATGGTTGGATGAATGAAATAAAGGATGGATTGTTGGATGGATGTTAGATGGTTTATTGGATGGATGGATGAATGGATAGAAGCATGTATGGATTTATATGTAGATGGATGGATTGCTTAGGCCAAGCCGATCGATTTGATGTCTCACATGCGTGGGTGTGTAATTCCATTTAGTCAGAAGATGATTGACCTCTCTCAACCAATCAGGGAGCTGGGAGGGAGCGGGGCACTTTCCCACCTTCTGACGGTCAATCAAATTGAACTTATTTCTAGTTTTAAGTACAAACAGTTCAAAAAGATCAAAAACAGGAGTCTGTTAATGGCTCAATATTCAGCTTTTTATATTCATTCCTATGAGACTTGGTTAAAGTGATTTGCAGTTCCTTGTGTTGCCATGGTAACAGATGACAGGAGTCTGCATTAATAAAGCTATGTACAATAACACATGACTCATTCAAACTTTGAATAACATTTCTATATTAAAGTATGTTGACACAGTTGTGTCTAAAATGTTGTTAAATGTTGTTGCTAAGCACGTTGCCATGGTAAAGCAGAATACAATATCAAGTTAATACAAGACTCCTGGGACCAAGCAGGTTGAATTGATGTACCATGTGTGGGTGCACATTTCCTTTTAGGCAGAAGACGATTGAAAACTCTCAGCCAATGAGAGAGCAGCAAAGGAGGAGGGGGCGGTTCCTGCATTCTGACTGGTGTCAAAATGTCAGCTATGCTGCTAGTTTTAAGTGTATAGAGCTGGTTGGTTGGTTGGTTGGTTGGATGGATGTATGGATGGATGGAAGGATTCCTTAGGCCTAGCCAATCGATTTGATGTCTCACATGTGTGGGTGTGTAATTCCATTTAGCCAGAAGATGATTGACCTCTCTCAACCAATCAGGGGGCTGGGTGGGAGCGGGACACTTTCCCACCTTCTGACGGTCAATCAAATTTAACTTGTTTCTAGTTTTAAGTACGCTTTAAGTAAGTTCAAAAAGATCAACAACAGGAGTCTGTTATTGACTCAATATTCAGCTTTTTAATATTCATTCCTATGAGACTTGGTTAAAGTGATACGTAGTTTCTTGTGTTGCCATGGTAACAGATAACGTATTTAAAATTGAATTAGGGCCGGGACTTTAACGCGTTAATTACGATTAATTAATTAGAAAAAAATAACGCGTTAAAAAAATTTACGCATTTAATTGCAGCTTGCATTTCAAGCACAGCGGAACCTTTGTCATTGCACGATTTCCTCGTAGACTGAATATCACTGACGCACACAACAATGCACAGTGCTAATGGCTACTAAAACGGAATAAAAACAGACAGAAGTTGCCTTGCTTGGACTGATGCAGGATTTAGGAAACACGTCCGCCTCTTTTCTTAACTTGGAAAAAAAAACTTCCAGACAACAACGGAGTCCGTGTCGCGGACATCTTTCAGAGATCGTCTCTGCTGCGGCTGCCCGGTGGCGGGAAATTTTACAAAAGTTGCGGTAAGCTATATTTTTAACATTTACGTAACATCTGCGCAGCGCTGAAAGCTCCAGACAGAATAATTCTTTGCCCTAAAAGCAGTTTATGAAAGTAGTCAGACAAACGAGAGGCACCTGGCTGCCGCTGGGAGAACGCTCCGTGTTCTCACTACTCTGTAAACAATCACAAACAACGTGTCTTAAAGTTGAAAACAGAAGTTTAAGTTAAAACAGAAACACTCTGAAACTTTTCTGATGATTTTCTAAACAATTCTGTCGGGGTATTATATGTTTCTGAGATGAGTCACTGTCTAAACATCACATGCATTACTATCAATAAGCAGCGAGGTGTGTTGAAGCTGTCATCAGCTAAGGGGCGGATGCTTAAGTGTATCAGGGGCAGCGAGGAACGAGGAAGTTGTGATCAGGCTGGAGATCACACCAGATTCGCTGCTGCAGGCGTGAATCTGCGGGTCTGCAGCATCCCCTTATTAACGTGACATCAGGACTTCCCATGTAAGGAAGGTCCGCTCACCTGTTTGTCAGATCATTATTTCCTCGCCATGATCTTTTATCTTCCCATCATCCTCCAGTCATCCAACTGGAACCAGTTAGTGTTCCTGATCATTCTCAGAATATGTCATGCCTGCTTTGGTGTTAAAATTTAAGTCCTAGATCCTATTTGTGCCTGTTCTACTGTCATTTTGAAGGATTATTATTTATATGTGTTTTTACTACATTATGAGTAGAAATGCTAATAAAAACTCCCAATTATACAAACAAGTGAAACTGGAAAAATTTGAATCTGGTGAAAAGTCAAATTTATTTCAGTAATTCATCTAGACAGAGAGACTATTTAAAGTCTCAGGAACCCTTTGCAGGTGTTTTCTATTTGTAATTATAAATTTTAGTTGATTTGGGTCTTGTTTCATATCACACAGTGACATTTGAATAATTAAAATGCATTTTTTATTAAAAGCTTTAGTTTACCGTAATAACCATGTCTAATGTTTGATTCTCTGTCTCATAATTTTAATTAAAAGTTTTACTTTGAGAGCACATTTTCCTGAATGATTAAAATGTGATTAATTGAGATTAATTAATTACAAAGCCTCTAATTAATTAGATCAAAATTTTTAATCAAGTTCCAGCCCTAAATTGAATACAAGATTCCTGAGACCAAACTGGTCAATTTGATGTGTCATTTGTGTGGGTGCTGGATCCTGATTGGACAGAAAATGCTTGAACACTCTTAACCAATCAGAGAGCAGCACTGTTTTCCCGCCTTTCCCCCTGGTTGTTGGAGGCCTGCAGCTGTACTCCTGTTAATGAGAGAAGCCTTTAAATCTGTCCTTCAGAAGTGAAATTGGACCTGTGAAACTTGTCATCACCATTCGAAAAGTACTGCACCGAATTCAAAAAGCGTGAGCGGCAGAAGGCTTTGATGATCATCTGTGTGAATTTTATGTGCCTACCATGAATTGTCTAGAAGCTATGACGAGAAACTTCTAGCTGTCTGAAGCCGATCAGAGGAGAAAATCTCTGTTCCTTTAACATGGGTTTCAATGAGGGAAAATCTGGGTCTCTCCTCTTTCTGAGGCTTGTAGCGAAAGAACCGTAACACTTACAGATAAAATGAAAAGCTGAAAAAAATTCCAACTTTTTCAGTTATAATTTGTTTTGGTAGTCTAAATGGTCTGGGGGTAGTAAAGAGTTATTCACAGAAGATGTGAAGTTCAAAAGTTAGAGTGCGGAATTTTCAGTTTAGAGTGGTGACATATTTTTAAATTTGAATTTTCTCAAACAAATGAACCGTACGACCACAGTGTTTGGAGTACAGTCATGAATTATAGCTCAAAACGAAGGTATATTCGTTAGCTGTAAGCCAGCATGTGTCTCATTTCAATCGGACCTTCAGTTCTCTCGGGACAACGTGGGAAATGGAGCAAGGGAGGGTCACTGCTCCCATCTTCCCCATTATAACTTTTGTGAATTTTTCTGAAAATTTCAAGTCGTACCTCTACTTCTACCTGCGATTTTAGAAAAAACGTAAAATATATTAAAAAGCCTCTTTAATATGTTAAACAGGAAACTCTTGTGAGTTTGCTAAACTTTGAATGAAGTCTCTAAGTTAAAAGGAATCCAA